TTTATTAAAGTGACTGATAATGATGATTAGATGGACTACTAATAACTGAGAAACATTTTTGGGATTGGAAATACAAACAAGCCTGTAATATCTTATCCGGCAAATGGACACCCATATAAATTAGCTTTAAAAAACACATACATAAATAGCAATATTGCAGTCTGCTGGATTTTCTGTCCAGAGTTCAGACTGTTTCATTCAGTGGCTTCCATGCATTGTTTATAATTTTCTGCCCATTAACCTACTCAATCACTGCTGAGCTGTTTACTTTTCTTCCTCTTAAATGTTTCTTTTAATACTCCTGCAAGGGCTGAATGAATTTTTTCCCTTGCTGTTCTCTAACTTGGATGGGTGGTTCTGATTTGACTATACAAACTAGTTTGTTCTCAGCCTTCATCCTAAAGTAGAGGAAAAAGGTTCCCATTTAGACAAGAAGGGTGGGCCCTCAGAGTCAGCAAAAGCAAAAATTTGAAGGCTGAAATGGAAAGAATGTGGAGAGGTTCTGGCTATATTTAGTTGCAAGAGGCTGGGGATATCCAACTTTCTAGTAGAGAAGAAGCTGTAAAAGATACTTTTCAGGATTTCAGAGGCAGGAAAAACTGTTTGCTTCCAATATACTCATCCTACATATTTGTAAATATAGCAAATATTACAAATCTTTCTGAGTAAAAACCCAACTGGCTGAATTCCTACATCTTGTTAGACAGTGGTTTGTTTAAATATGGCTTGTATATAGTATGCTAGTCTAACACTAGTAGTGTAGCAGAAATCTCCACCTGGAAATCCAATGTACACAGAGACAGCAAACTCTCAGATAGGATACATATGACAAATAGGTATAATAATTAATCTTTTTAATAATTCACTTTCAGACTTTGGTTTGTAACATGAACTTCATTAACGGTTAGCAAATTGCTCAGAGAGTAGCCTCAGTTGGCATATGAGATTGAACAAGGTGGGACTGTTCATAAGTAGTTAACAATTAAACTAATATCCTGCAGTGGAATGCAGCCATGTTCTTTCAAGTAGCTATGTTCTTCTTGAAGTGCTGGCCTGCTAACAGGAATATCCTCAAAGCTAGAGCAGCGGCCTCCAAACTTTTGGGCACCAGGGACTGGTCCTATGGAGAGAGGTTTTTCCACGGACTAGAGGGGGTGTAGTTTTGCATGCTGCCTGCATCCTGCAGATGGGGCTTTGCTTGTTTGCACAGCCTGGTTTCTGGCATGCTGCGGCCCGGTGCCAATCCATGGACCAGGGGTTTGTGACCCCTGCAGAGAAGGCAAGTTGCACTAACTAGTTAGTACAATTAGGCTAGAGTGCTTCGTGAAAACTCCTAACCGGCACAAGTTAAGGCTCCTTAGATGGTTAGGCATAGCTCTAACATCTCTAGCATACATATATTTAAGGATCAGAGGCAGATGTAGGGTGCTTTCCACATTGCAACTCTGCTTTGTGGTCTGTGAACCTCTGGGGAGGCTGTGATGTCATCACAGGGAGTCCACAAAAGCTTGAAGAAATGTTATGACTTAAATCTTGAGTTAAGTCTTGGTGGCCATGGTTTGTGGCCACAAAAGGTATCTAAAGGGGTCCGTGGTGAAGAAAACATTAAAAACCACTATCCTAATGTATCATGCACATATGACAGAGTGTGCATAGCTAGATTAATACACACTATACCCCTGTGCCATGATTTGTTTTAATCATAGTTCATTGACCACGCCACAAAGGATGTCTTTTACATTAAACTGTGGTTTTCTTAACTACAGTTTATTGAATAAATGCAGCTGGCTGGGTTCTCATTTTGCAATCCATTATATAAAAGCATGATGACTGGCTTCACATATTAATGAAATATGTGACTCCAGTCGATGCATGAATGAGTTAGGGCTAGTGGTTCAGGTTCAGATTTTTGTAGCCCAGCATGGAAGAAATGTGAATTTTGTAGGTGAATGAGAAAAAAAATGTCTTGATATGATTTAGAGATGGATTACTGGCTAATTACTGCCTCATCTGCCAATCTTCTATCTGGGAAATTGTGGCTTAATGTACCTTAAGCAAGAATTTTGCCAAGGAAACTGGGGGGAGGGGAAAGGAAGTCCGATTTGACTTCTTCTGGAAAGATTCATGCATTGTATAGACTTATTTAATACCTCATGGATAATTTAACCATGGGTAAGCTTCATTCTTCCATCACATTCAGTACTATCTGTATTCACTGTTAGCATCACTCTAGGTCACGGGTGTCAAACTGGAGGCCAGTGGGCTGGATATGTCACGTGCAGCCTACCACAGCTCTGTGAAGGGAAAAAAGTCACAAAATGTGATGGCAACATCACGTGATGCCGTGAGTTTGTCACCCATGCTTTAGGTGTTTAGGTAAATTTACTGGCCGGATGACCTTCCTGTCACCAATGCGGAGTTTTTTCAGCAGATATAGCCTCAGTGTGCCCAGAGGGAGAAATACCTGCCTCTACCTAGGATTGAACTCACAGCCTCCTGATTGTGATGCGAGAGCTCCATCTCTAGGCCACAGCACCATCTTTCATGAATGTTGCCCATTAATTTTCAGCTACTCCCATCAATGAAAACGTAAGATTTTTTGGGGGAATGCAATCAGATTGGTTTTAATTCTGAAGGAAACATACACTGCTCAAAATATATTTCAGATAATGATATCAAATGACTAGTCCTAAAAGATATTGAGGCTATAATCAGGGATCTTCAAACTTGGCAAATTTAAGACTTGTAGACTTCAACTCCCAGAATTCCTGAGCTAACATCACAGGAGGAGGAATTCTGGGAGTTGAAGTCCACAAGTCTTAAAGCTGTCAAGTTTGAAGACCCCTGCATATATTCCCATAAATTCATGGGACTTCTTTGAGTCTTCTTGGTCTTTCTGAGTAAGCATGCCTAATACAGTTAATGAATGTCTCAACTTAGCCAACCAGAAAATACACATTGCATGCTTAAGAACACAGAAGTATAGTTCGTTTCCAATAATTTTACTGACATCTAGTGGTAACACTTGCAGAAACTCTGAGAAATTATTAATATAGAATTAGACTTTCATTAAAGGCAAGTCATGGTTAAAAATGAATAAAATGCAAAAACAAGCTTTGCTGGCTGGAGGATTCTGGGAGTTGAAGTCCACAAGTCTTAAAGTTGCCAAGTTTGGGGACCCCTGGGCTATAGGGTCTCTTGCTTGAGCAGGAGCTGTTGGACTTCACCAGAAGACTTCCAAGGTCCTATCCAGTTCTATTCTGATTGATTGATTGATTGAGTGAGTGAGTGAGTGAAAAAAAATCCCACAAGAATTCTTAAATCTTTGCTGCCATCTGAAGATTATCTGGAATTTTACACTTCAGATCTGGCTGTCCTAATTTATAAATTTTTCAGTTCCATCTTCTAGCAATAAAAAAAAGTTCACTCTGCATATGAAAAAGCATTTGCAAAAATGGCATCCAGCTGTTAATAAGGACCATGTAAACAATGTGAAGTTCCCCCAGCCCAATTCATTGGCAGCACAAAACTCTTTCTGTTCTGTCTCCAGTGCATCATTTTAATTGTATTACAGGTAGTCCTCAACTTACGACCACAGTTGAGCTCCAGATTTTTGTTGTTAAGCAAGATAATGGTTAAGTGAATTTTGCTCCATTTTACAACCTTTCTTGACCCAGTTGTTAAGTGATCACTGCAGTTGTTAATTTAGTAACAGTGGAGTGAATCTGGCTTCCCTGATGATTGCTTGTCAGGACACTGCAACCATCATAAATATGAACCAGTTGTCATACATCTGAATCCCATGGTCATGGGGATGCTGCAACAGTCATAAGTGAGAAAAACAGTCATAAAACATGCCATTGTCACTTCAAATGATCCCTAAATGAAACTGTTGTAAGTTGAGGGCTAACTGTGCTTTGCCTGAAATGGATGGCTTTTCACTTCAAAGTGATATCTCTGTATTGATTGACCGGTTTCCATAGAGAGGGCCCAATTGATTTCCAGAGAGCATGAATATTCCTTTATTGCATCCCTGACTATGATCAAGCATATAATTTACAATATAGGCAGAAAAAATAAATCAAGAATTCATACAAGAGTAGATCCAATGTCTTGTTTTGTTTAGAGCAGGGGTGTCAAACTCACGACCCCTGGGCCAGATGCATCAAACGCTGGCCACACCGACCTCTGTTTTAGCAAAGGGGGGAAAAGTCGCGATACGTCACGTGACGATGTGATGCCACAAGTTTGACACCCCTAGCTTAGAGCATAGCTGGCTGGGGGATTCTGGGAATGAAGTCTACCTGTTGTAAAGTTGCGAAAGTTGGGAAACACTGATGTGGAGAATTGTAGGTGTATCTGTATTCTGTTTTTATTCTCTTTTAAACTGCTTAGCTGCCCAGAGTTATACATATGAGATGGGGAGGCCACGCAAAGCAAATAAACTTATTAACTAGAATATCCATATAATCTTTCAGCTTGTCTTATTTTGCTAAAGCTGGAAGGTGGTACTTTTGTCTTAACAGTCTGAAGACACTTCATTTTTCACATTTCTGTATGGCTTATCTTCCTCAAAGAGTAAGGCATTAGTTATGGTGTCAATTAGGTAAAGCAGGAATTATAGTGCTATGTTTTACCAAATAGACAACATGGTCTCTATAATTTCTTGGTAACAGGAGTAGAATAGCTAATTTAACAACACCCATCTAATTTGCAGATAGGGCAGCCTTTTCATATAATATAGTGAAGTGGCTACTTCAAGGTCTTTTTTTAATAGAGATAGCAGAGGTGGTGTTCAGCAGGTTCTGACCAGTTCTGGAGAACCGGTAGCAGAAATTTTGAGTAGTTCGGAGAACCAGCAAATACCACCTCTGACTGGCCCTGCCTCAATCTATTCTCTGCCTCCTGAGTTCCAGCTGATCGGCTGGGACTTCTTTTGTTGCCCTGCATAGGAGAATGGAGCTGGAAAGCAGATTAGTGGGGTGGGGTGGGAATGGAGATTTTACAGTATCCTTCCCATGCCACGCACACCAAGCTACACCATGCCCACCAAGCCATGCCCACAGAACTGGTAGTAAAAATATTTGAATTCCACCACTGAGATGTAGGAACTGTTTGAATGATGCAGCCCTTCTTATTGCTTTTGGCTAGCCAGCAGTGCGCCAAAGGAATTCATTGACCTCAACCAGACTTGGATGGTGACAGAGAGCACTGAAAGAAACTGATGCTCTTTTACCCCTTGATCATGTGCAAAGATATGGGAATAATGAGAAATAATAGAGCTTCAAGTGAGCTGGTCAGGACTACAGCGTAAATTTCCAACCTTGGCTACTTTAAGACTTGTGGCCTTCATCTCCTAGAATTCCCCATTCCTCATCATGGCAGACTGAGAAATTCTGGGAGCTGAAGTCCACAAAGTAGCCAAGGTTGGTCTAAATCAGGGGTCTCCAACCTTGGCAACTTTAAGCCTGGAGGACTTCAACTCCCAGAATTCTGGGAGTTGAAGTCCTCCAGGCTTAAAGTTGCCAAGGTTGGAGACCCCTGGTCTAAATTGTGAAATTTTCACTAGGATGATGGCCAAGAAGTATAACTCCTTGGTAGAACTATTCCCCCCTGCCCCAATTACCTGAATCTTTGTGCAGGAAGATGTAGATATCCTCTTTATTGTCTCATTGAAGGTTTTCTGAAACCAGAGGGCTTTTGAAACCCAGCAGCATTCCTGGAAAACTTATCTGGTGCCTGGATGTTAGGTATTTGATTCAAGGGAGACCTTTGATTTTCCTCGTAGTTGTCCAATCTCTTTTTGATGACCTCATTAATTAAGCCTGCAAAAGTAATTGCCTTAAGTTAACATTTTACCTGAGTAGATAATCTCTTAACTCATAAAAATAGTTTTGAAATTGTATTTTGTTTCATCAGCGTAGACTCAGGATACACATCATTAAGGAAGGCAATAGAACTGAATTAAAAAAAAAAGACAAGGACATAATTTGAATGCAACAAGGACAGCAGGTTAATGCTGAAATGTGTAATAGATAAATGTATATCTACAAAGAAGTAGATAGATGGAAACTAAAGTTGCTGCTGTTGCATCTTTGGGTTCTTTTGTGTTTTCTGAGCAGCTTTACAATAGAGATGTGTAGAATATCAGGCAAGAAACTCCTTGGAATTTCACATCACCATTTTCAATCTAGAGGTAATATAACATAAGCAGGCAAGAAACCAAAAACTTTACCCCAAACACACCAACCTTTAGATCTTTACAGCCAGTTGCACTATGACATGGTTGTGTGCTACTGCAAGATTACTAAAAATTTACAAGTAAACTCTCTTCTATTTCAGATGGAAGATTATTAAGTGGTATGCCACAGATTAAATGTAGAAAAAGAGAGAGAGAGAGAGAAGAGAGAGAGAGGGAGGGAGGAGAGAGGAGAGAGGAGAGAGGGAGGGAGAGGAAAGAGAGAGAGGAGAGAGGGAGAGAGAGGAGAGAGAGGAGAGAGAGAGGGGGGGGAGGGAGAGGGAGAGAGAGAAAGGAGAGAGAGAGAGGGAGAGAGGGAGAGAGAATATGCCCAAAATGAAAACTACAAAAATTAAATCATGCAGTTTTGTCCAAATGAAATGCAGTTTTGTCCAACTCAAGGCAGTTACTGTGGAGACCGTATGTGTTTTTAATACTTTCCCTTTTCTGTCTTATTAAATGCATGACAAAAATATTGGATGGGTTTGTGGAAGCTACGACCAAGGCTCTTGGTGGTCCACACAATTGTACACTCCTGCATTAAAGCCATCGTTGAGTTCTGGCCGTTATACTAGTGTCCTTTCCTCTGATTTTTGAATGATTCAGATGTTCAAAATGTTAATTGCTTGGGCACCAGAGGTGGTATTCAGCAGGTTTTGACCAGTTCTAGAGAACCAGTAGCAGAAATTTTGAATAATTCAGAGAACCGGCAAATATCACCTCTGACTGGAGATTTTACAGTATCCTTCCCCTGCCACATCCACCAAGCCACGCCCACAGAACCGGTAGTACAAAAATTTTGAATCCCACCACTGTTGCGTATCATATTGATTTGGCTATTCTCTGAGCAGCAGGAGAGAATCTTGGGTAGCCAGAGCATTTTGGCATACTTACAATCTGTCATTATTCTTCCTAGAAGCTTCTTCTGCAATCGAAGTTCTACATGGCCCATCACAAATGGAAGGAATCCTTTCTCGATATCTATGCAAAGCACCAAAGGAAAACAAGCATTATACAGTACTGTGATTCTTAAATAGGTAGAAAACTCCTGTGTTCATTCAAGTACAATGGCTGATTCTTTAGAAATTGTAATAAATAAGATTATTACTTATCAGGTTGGCATTTTTTGTACATTATCGAGATAATTTTATGTGTGAAACAAAGTGAGAAAAAAATGAAACATAGCATGATTCTAGATGTAAGTACTTGGTGATATATTCCTTCTGTTCCATTAACTTTCTTCCCAAATATGTAAGAACTTTTCTCAGGTTAGCTACCTATGCTGTATTATTTCTTTATTTCCTTTTGCATTTTATATATGTACTGTCTTTTTTTTTTTTACAATTAGAAGAATTTAATGTTTTAAGTAACTTTTAATCTATCCAGAGAATTGACTACTAGTGGATTAAAAGTTTAATAGAACGGCTACTTACTACATAATATTTTCAAAAAAAAGGTACAAATATCACTGTGTGTTTTTGTATTTATCAGCATTATCCTTTATTCAGAAAAATATTTCTAACTGTAAAATACTAAGGATTCTTACTCTGAAAAAAAGTGTTAAGCTTGAAAATAGTACTAATTCACAATATCGAGGAGGAGGACATGGTTTTTTGAAGTATGCCCTGTGGAACTCAAGAGTATTCTGTATGGAACTAACATGGGATTCTGTATGGAACTCTTGACAGAATCCCATAAGAAACTAATGGTAATGGACATAGATTTTTCTATTATTAGAACTTTGACTCTCAATCAGGGGTTTCATTGTATTATTATTATTATTATTATTATTATTATTATTATTATTATTATTA